AAGTGGTCATTAGTTTATAAAACTAAGAACCCTTATACCCCTAGGCAAGTCCAAGATGGTAAGCCAACCAAACTCACGAGTGTTTTGGCCATTTTTGATCTTGGCGAGATAGGTAAAGCTTCCTCTCGTACTTCTTGATTGTGGTTCTCTCATTGGGTTTCTTGCTTCCTTCCAGTAGACTTTATGATCTTCTCTTTCTGTCTTCTTAATTCTTGTTCTTTTAATATTCTCTCTCCTTAATAATGTTTTTTGTTTTCTTTCTTAGTCTCTAACACTCAGTAGCACCTTTCATCTTAGTGGCTTTATTGCCTTCTGCAGAGTGAAATGATTAAAAGAAACTTACATCAGTAATAGAAAGATCAATAACAGTAAATTTCCTGACAAACCTTTTTTAAGAGAAAGAAACCATTATGGTAATTTATCCACACGTGCATGAACTCTTCCAGCTATAAATAGGAGCAGGTACTGCCTTTTGAAGGGTGAAGTTTCCAGCAGTCAGCTCTGACAGTCAGACTGAACATTCTTGCTGTAACACTCTCGTTTATATCTGTTTGTATTACCAATTCCTGTTATTATATTTAACTCAATTCCTCTCCTTGTGTCTTTATTTCTGGCCCTAACAAGGCCACAATAGAAAGAGAAATATTTTTATAAATATTTTGTAAACTTAAGATGTTCAGTTTCCTTTAAGACTGTTTTAATAAAAAAAGATTTTATAAATTTCAGTTGACATTAACATTAACTGTGTGGCGAATGAATGGCGAATGAATGCCAAACGTTTCCTGCATGGAAACAACTAATCTCACCATTACTAATAGATTGAATCAGTATACAAACAAGACAGAAAGACTAATGAAAGAAAGGTAGAACATTTAAAAGAGAGAAGACGACAAAGACAATTAGCATATAATGTGAGTTGTGGGAAAAATATCCAATTAAGATTAGAAACATTTTCATGGATTCTGATAGTTGAAATGTGCTTCGACTTGAGTCAGACTATCAGTTTGGCTAAGGCTTCTTCATTTCACTATTTCAATGTGAAGAGTCTAAAGTTGGACTGATTTGCTAATTTTATTTCCGTATCAATCAATGTGGGTATTGTATTGGACAAACGCTATGTGCGCATGTGGATCTCTTTACGTGTATATATATTTGGGTAGCCATATTAGTATGTCTACGTTTGTGCAAATTAATGCATATATATGAATGAAATGCATATTCATATGAGAAGGTACACTCCTGGATGCATGGGATTAGCAGAAGATTAGAAAATCATTAATGTTGTGCTACTTTTTGGGATTAAAGGGATATAAAAAAATACCTGGGCACAGATGACATAAAAATATTCATGAAGTGGCTAGAGAGTTTCTTCTTCCTCTATGTGTTATGTTTGTTCAGGATGTGGGTGATCATGGCTCTTCACAATCTCCTATCACTTTTACTGCTTCACAGTATTTATTCTGTTCTGCCATCCATTCATATCAGGTAGCTCATCAGGTAGGTGAACTGCTGCTTTCCCCTTTCTCTCAATATATCCTGTGAGTGTCAATCTCTCCAAGCCCACCTTACTCATTATATGTCCACATATTTTCAGCTCTATCTTTTTGATTCTGGGTGTACTTTTTATTTCCATTTTCCCTCAATTTTTCTTCATTGTTCTGTCCATGGTATTCTCAGTATTTTTCTGTAGAGCCACATTTCTGGTATCACCAGTTTTCTCTTCATCTGTGAGAAAATTGTCATCTATTCACTGACGTACAGCAAGATTGAGATTGCATAACAGTTCAGAACTCTTTTCTTTTGTCTAATAAAATTTTCCTATTTTTTTCTGTTTGTAGACAGACATGGCTCTCCACAGATTCCTTTTCTTTATGACATTTTCAGAAAAATAATGGACATATTTTAACACTTGTTTTCTTTATACGTAATGTCTCTTCAGGATGCAGGTGTTCATGACTCTCCACAGATTCCTTTCCTGGGAAGTCCCACGATTTCTGGTGAAAGAGAATGGAGTGGTTTCCAATTGCCTTTCTACATGGTTTTGAATTCAGAGTTGTTCACCCAAGGCTAGAGAGCCTGGTCTACTTTACTATTTAACCTATAGCTTTCAGTGAAAAGAGATATGGAATCATGCATTGTCTATGGACATTAAAGTGAAAGTGTATTCCACAGAATAGACAGATTCTTTTTTTTTTAAATGTCATTTCTCCTCCCATTCATGGCTCTCCACAGATTCCTTTTCTTTTATTATCTGTGAATTGGCATGACTTCCTAAAAAAAAGATATTGGAGTGGTTTTCTTTTGTTTCTTCTGTGGTTTTCAGTTCATAGCTGTACATCTCCAAATGTAAATATTTTTAATGTCCTCTTCCTTCAGGACATAGGCAGTCATGGCTCTCCACAGATTCCTTTTCTTTATTATCTTTGGATTGTCATGCATTCCTGAGAACAATGGTAGTTTCCTTTTTCCTTCTGTATGGTTTTGAATTTAGATTGTTTACCACTCAAAGAGAACCCAGCCTAGTCTTTTATTTTTCTTCTTTTAACTTTAGTTTGCGATTTAGAAAATCCAAGAGCTTGTCAAGTGAGAGATGCACTGAGTAAGAGTGTGGTAAAGAGAGGAAGGAGGAAATAAAAAGTGCATATTATGAGGATATGTAGAATAGATATCAATTCACCCTAGATTTGAAACAGTTAAGATTATATTGATCAAGGAAGCATCTTCTTGGGAGTCTGTTTCACAATGTAACAGTTCTGAAAGGAGGTGAAAATAATTGTCAAATGATAGCATTACTTAAAACTGTTTGAATACCAAGAATGCATTCAATCAGAAGATTGAATGTATTGAGGAGTGTGGAAGAATCCCTTAATAGCTCTTTTCCCCAGGTCCATCCTGACCAAGGTTGGTAAGAGATCTTAGGGTCCCAGCTAGGGGCAAATAGTAAGCCCGCAAACAAAAATCAACAATACATTTTTATAGCAAAATGACAATCAATGCAACACTAAAAAAATATAAAAATATGTTTTTACCATAAAATTACCAACAGTATATTTTATGATCTACAAGCTGTATATCTAAAAATTTTATGATCTACAAGCTGTATATCTAAAAAATATACCTTTACTCTGAAAGCATAAAATTATGCCCAAAATATCTTAGTTGAAAGCATAAAATTATGTACAGGATATTTAAATTTCAGTATTAAATAACCCATGGAGGTGTTGATAGCCACTAAACAAAATCAACCAACCAAACACAACTCTCTTGTGACATTAATCCATATAATATCCTAAAATTTCTTAAAGAAATCAAACTGTATTTCAAAATATATCTTCAACAAAACTGCGACATAAAATGTACATAGTAATTATGTCCAGAGAAACATGTATATGCACAAAAGCTGAGTATCATCTACCATGTATTCAATTGTGAAAGCAGAATAATAAATATCATATTTTTATTATTTTAAAGCTCACAAGAAAATTAAATTTCAGCATTAAATGACCCATAAGGATGTTGATATGCCATTAAACAGACAAATCAATCAATCAATAGCAAGAAGATGGGCTAAATAGAGAGGAGACTTGCTGTCATTTAAAGTTCTATGTATGATAATAATAATAATATGTATGATAGTAATAATATTAATTGGAGTCCTGTGTACAATTGAAAAGGGTTCAAACAAGAATATTAGCAAGTCTCCTGGTAGCCCCTATTTATAAGAAATTCAAAACTTTGCACTGAGTCAAACTGCAAATCTTGTCGTCATCAGCCCCCGCTCGCATCCAAACTTCAGGATCATCATCCTCTCTCCTTATTATCCTTTCTCTCCCCAGAAGAGATGGGTGTGAGTCAAAGAGAGTTTGATGAGGCCATTCCCAGAAATTTGATTTTGGTGGACAACTCTGTGTGACAGAGAAGCCCACACATTTCATGGCTCCCTCATTAGCTCAAAGGGGATTGATATCTGACAAACCTGGTTACATTGATCTGTTGGATGCTTGGCCTGTCAATGTCTGCCTTAGTAATGCTAGCATGACTGGTATAGGCCCTATGCTGATGGCTTGGAGGTTGATCAGTCTGGTGCTTCCTCTTCAACCTTGCCACCATGTATGGCCCTACAGGAGTTGGAACGCCAGACAACTTCACTCTTGGGATCACTGAGACAAGTAAGTCATCTACCGTCATAAGGTAAAGAAAATATAAACACTGTAGATGTTAAGTATCACTTAACATAAAAATTTCTGCAAACAGTATGCATATATTTATGAGCTTGTCTTATCCTGTTTTGGGTAATGACCCAGTAAGAGATTGTACTAAATAAAATAATCATAATAGTAGTACTACTGCTAGTAGTAGTAGTAGTAGTAGTGTTGATGAAAACAAAACTGATGAAAGAATGGGAAACAAATCATTGTGATTATTTACACTATTTATATTTGGACTACTGTCCACATCTTTTGTTTTTATAACAATATTTCACCCATTGTGCTCTCAGCCCTCCTCTGATGTATATCAATTAGGGTAACCTACACGGAATTTCAAAATAAACCCTTTATTTAATCTACAGGGGTAGAGTCTTCTCATTCCACTGCTCATGTCTAGGTATATCTTATTTTCTGAGTTCTTATTTTATTTAGTACTGTTCACTTATTCCTCACCTGTTTCCACTGAGTGCAAGTACACATTGCCCAACCTAGGGATTGAACTCAAAACCACTATGACACCAAATTCATAAAGTAACTCTTTTACCCACAATAGCCTAGTCATTAAACAGTTCGAATAGAAACTGTAAATAATGATAACTCCTCATCTCAAAAATTCAAACAACAGGAATTGTGGAAATACCAATTTAGAATCTGTTGTTGATTTTACTTATGTTGATTCTTTATACAAAATTAGAAACTCTTACTCTTGATTGATGAGGCCAAAACAAAATGTGGAGAAGGTAATTGGCTAAGTGTCAATAGAAGTTATCTCCCTTTTGTTTTTAATCTGACATCAGATTGGAATGGGAAGGAAAGAAAAGAATGTCTGTGAATCAATGCACACAGAAAGACAAATGCAGAGAAATAAAGAAAAATGTACAGAATCCCAGATAGTTCTCCTCTCACACAGCATTTGACTCTCCATCTGATGTCATTTATCTCTGTCTGTGTCCTCAGGTCCAGGCCCATGCTATAACTTCTGGCCAAGTATATTTGAATGGTGTCCGAGCCATTTCCAGGTCAGATTTTGATCTACACTGAGATCCTTTCCTCAGGTCATTTTGTAGATCAGACACCTATGTTGCATAGCCCCCTCATGCTGGGAGGTCTTGGGCATTGTGCCAATTATGTCTATGTTGTATTGCCTATTAGTGGCGGTGGTCTAGGGGTGATGATGTTAATTCATTAATAAAGCTGCATTCTTCTTTCATGTCTGGCGATCGCTAGTTGATTTGGTTCAGAGATTAAAGAATTTCACTACAGAGAATTTTAACTTAAATAGTTTATTAACATCAACATATACATCTAACTAGCCAGTGAGGTCACCCTCTCCTTCCCCTGAGGAGCAGATCCAGACATGAAGAAAATATGTCTACATTGTTTGACAATTAATACTCAACTCCTTAAAAAACCATTCTCTATCTATCATTCCCATGCTAGTTCAGCCAATCAAAATCGACTTTCTTTATTTTGTCTTGTATCTGACCTCAGAGGTCAACCTCAGGATGTCAGAGCAGTGATACACTTCTTTAAAAATAATAGTCTGCTAAACTATTATCTAACACCTGCACTTTCATACTGTGCAAGAAAAATTATTATATTACAGGTAATGTTAATATTAACCATTTCCCAACAACATTTTGCATTTATCAACCAAACAGCTAGTACTGCTCTGTCTATATCTCTGAGATGAGCTATCATAACTATTTACACTATTTACATTGTTTGGACTGTTGCCCTCATCTTTATTGTCATATTCACAGTCTATATTTCTAAGATGAGGTATTGTAACTATTTACACTATTTACATTGTTTGGACTGTTGTCCTCATCTTTATTGTCATATTCACAGTCTATATTTCTAAGATGAGGTATTGTAACTATTTACACTATTTACATTGTTCAGACTGTTGTCCTCATCTTTATTGTCATATTCACAGTCTATATTTCTGAGATGAGGTATTGTAACTATTTACACTATTTACATTGTTTGGACAGTTATCCTCATCTTTATTGTCATATTCACAGTCTATATTTCTGAGATGAGGTATTGTAACTATTTACACTATTTACATTGTTTGGACTGTTTTCCTCATCTTTATTGTCATTAACAGTCTATATTTCAGAGATGAGGTATTGTAACTATTTACACTATTTACATTGTTTGGACTGTTGTCCTCATCTTTATTGTCATATTCACAGTCTATATTCCTAAGATGAGGTATTGTAACTATTTACACTATTTACATGGTTTGGACTGTTGTCCTCATCTTTATTGTCATATTCACAGTCTATATTTCTGAGATGAGGTATTGTAACTATTTGCACTATTTACATTGTTTGGACTGTTGTCCTCATCTTTATTGTCATATTCACAGTCTGTATTTCTGAGATGAGGTATTGTAACTATTTACACTATTTACATTGTTTGGACTGTTGTCCTCAAATTTGTTGCCATATTCACAACATTTTTATTTTTTAGTTGAGAGAAACATATACAGAGAGACGTTTAAAGAGAAGGAGAGAGATAAAGAGATAAGGATTTTAAAGGAAAGCACACATGCCTTATTTTAATCTAAATTCTTTTTATTTTTGTTTATATATTTTACTTTTATATTTTATTTTTATCGGGACTCACTACACAATAAAGATAGAAAAACAGAAAGGAGTGTAAGGCGTGTGTATAAGATGTGTTTTCTCACTGTACTTATTCAACCTGTACAGTGAGGTGATTCTGAGAGAATTAGAAGACATACCAGGATTCATTCTTGGCAGGCATATTCTTAAGAGCATATAATATATACAGATGACACAGTGTTAGGAGAAGGTATAGAAATTAAACTACAAGAATCCTTCAGAATATAATGAAGGAAAGCAAGAAGAAAGGATGAAACATCAGTTCCAAGAAGGAAGATGATTGTCTACAAAATGAACAGTGCAACATCAAACAGTAACTCTCTAACTTGAGGGACTCTTGAGCCTTGTACAGGGTGAACATTAGTATAAAAAATTCATTAATTTTTTGAAATTTTTATATATATATATATATATATAATTGTTTATTTAAAAATATGATTCCAACACGCTACATAAGAGTTCTCATGTTTCAAAACAAGAGCCGAAAACTTCAATATAATTATTTGAATTAAATTGAATTAAAGTACTAAGCTCTGTTCCATCTTCAAGCAAATTTTTTTTGGAATAACTTATTTCTGAAATTTACGTGTTTTATAAGCATATTCATTATTGAAATCAAAATTTCTATAGTAACGGCTAGAGCAATTGTTTAAAGAAAAGGGGCCTACATATATATATATATATATATATATATATGAATTATGCAACAATTATCATAGGGTGCCATGCTGGTCCAATGGGTATATAACAGCGTATGTGTGCTATTTTCATTCTATGCAGAATACACAGTCTTTCCTCTGTCTCTCTCTCTCTCTCTTTGTTACTTTCTTTGTCTGTTTCTCTCTCTCTCTCTCTCTCTATTATATATATATATATATATATATATATGCCTGTATGTATGTATGTGGGATAATGATATATAAATGGTTGTAGATAGATAGAGAAAGAGAAAGAGATAAGTGTTTTAAAGGAAAGCACAAATGCCTTATTTGAATTCTTTTTATTTTTGTTTGTATATTTTACTTTCTTATTTTTTATTTGCTTTTTTTTACAACTCTCTACATATTTTAGTTTTTGCTGGGGTGCTTTGATGTGGTGTAATGGTTAGTGACCTTGCCTTGCTAGATAAGTTACGACTGAATAGGGAATGCGATCCTCACTGGGTGACCCATACACTTGGCCTTGTGCCACATCTAAGCTACACTTAGAAAATCATCATATTTTAGTTGTTGCTGCTGTTGATAGTTCTCAAATGATTTGGTTTCTGCTTTCTCATAGAATTCTTTGTTTGTGTTTCTGTAGCATTAATTCACAAGTTTTGAAGAAGGATCCATTGGCTTAACTCACTCAAAGCCATTTTTAAGCCATTGATCTTAGAAAGCAGTTGTATACCTCTGACAATTTAGATATTTCTAAACCAATTTGGTGCCATGCATAACATAACAACATATGAAAGTCTCAATTTGACAAGGTTATTTAACAACATGACTCGAATTTTCAGGTTAATGTTTTGGTTTTGTAGCAACTTGTGGTGTTGGGTAAAACTATCTCTAGCTTAGCCTGTTCTATGTTCATTTTATTTTCTCCCCCTACTAAATTTGTTTTAAATGACTCATATGCCGAGCTAATTCAAGTGTTTGGTATTTACTAATTCCACATCCTGAATTTTTATGATGGATTCAGAGTAGGTGTCATCACTGCTTTCATTCCAATTTCAGGTCATAGTTTTTGATTTGGAAAGGTTTATCTTGATTCCTATTTTTTGGAACACTTGATTGAGGATTTTCTGTTCAAGATCATTCTTATCTGAACTATGAATATGTATTTCAGCAATATATCCCTCCCCTCATTTTAAGTATGTTGGCCTCACAAGGGAAAACAGGATTATTGTCTTCTCTTGGTAGATTCGTTTGGTATGTGGTATGGAATGCTTAAATGATTAGTGCCCCCTCTCTTCATATCTGCACTTGTAAATTTTCAAGGCATAGCTGAGGAAAAGTGTTGTAGGCAGTAACTATTATAAAATTACCCGCCCTGAATTTTTATGACGGATTCAGGGTATGTGCCATCATTTTTAATTTTCAATTCCATGACATAGTTTGAAGACCTATAAAAGGGACATCCTAAAGATTGCAGACATAATCTATGAAATGCTAGTCTGGCTTGTTGGCCATTGTTTGAGAGCTTTTCTTTTCTACCATTTCTTTTCAAACTTTATATTTTGTTATTGTTTTGTTAAAGTACTTTCACCTGTCGAGATTATCAAGAATTATGAAGAATTATCAGAAACTAATGTAGTGTATGTGTGATAGTTAGAATTCCTTTGTCTACATCGTGGTATTCTTTTGGGAAATTGGAAGTTTGAAATAATCTGACATGTGTAACGATTATTGGCAACAACACTCTACAAATAGAATGCGATATATATTTAACTGTGAAAGCTATAAAAATGAATGAGCACCGTAAATCTGGATGATTGTGTGTGGGTAAAAGCCCCACATAGTTGGTGTACGTCTTGGTACCGGGTGGGGTATATCACTGGAATCAGTTACTCACGCACTGTGCTGATTGATAGAATGCCAAGACATGTAAAAGAATTACATCCCTGTGTAGGTTCAGATACATCAGCAAGTGACACTAGCAGTGAGTGCTCAGGCAGTGAGAGAATAATCACCATCGGAAATAGGGCTAGCACCTCTACAGATGGTGAAGACTCTGTGTGTGAAGTTGCCAGATCAGAAGACAACTCTTCTGAACATACCGCACGATCTCCTCTAACAGTCACCCCGCTATGAAGAAGCTCAAGAATAAAGAGGCCCAACCCTAGGTGTCTCTTATGCGATGGTGGGGAGTGTAGTGAAAGAGATAATCACCTGCCTCATAAAAGTGTTTTGTGTGCGATATGCTGAAGAAAGTTTACCGAAAGTAGTTAGCAAGAATCTGCTACTTTTCAGTATCAGAATCTATGCTAATGTTCTTTCCTCCCTTGAATGGCGTAGCCAGTCAGAAAAATCTCTTGGTAAATAAAAGCTGTTGTTTTTCACTTATGGCAGAAGGATTTTTTTTCTGAGCTTGGTGGACAAACATGCATTTTTGCTGGTGAGAAGTGAAGGTTGGATTTGTGACCCCATTTTGCCATTTCTACATTGCCTGTTGGACTGTCATTTGAATTGTGATTTGGCTACAAGTGTTGTGGTCAAGAGACAGAAAAAAACCTATTGCAGGTGTTTATTGCTATTATAAGTTTACAATTTTTTTTTTCTTTACTACAACATATTTTCTTGCAATTTTGATATTTATATAAAAGAAGATAATGATGATACTGAGGATGTA